CAAAGCCTAGCAGGCGTGGCACTTTCTCGACACCACAGGGGGTGCGCAGGGGGTGGTCTCTCAGCTCGGCCGCTATCCACGACACCGGCGCAAAGCCTAGCAGGCGTGGCACTTTCTCGACGCCAAAGGGGGTGGGCAGGGGGTGGTCTCTCAGCTCGGCCGCTATCCACGACACTGGCGCAAAGCTTTAAATTAAGTATGTGGGGTTCCTCGGTAGCGTAATTTTGCTTTTTCGTTTCAACCCCAAAGTGTTTTCCTGCAGGGACTGGGGCGGCGACAGCCTGCAGAAGATTCCCCGCCAGAGTTAGGCAGGGATACAAGGCCAACTGCAGGGAGACTGCAGCTGGAATAGCAGCACGGACCGCCCGCCCTCGACTGCACAAGAGGACGGGCGGACATCAGCCAGGATGCTGGGCTGCGAGGTGTTGGGGCTAGGAGCCTGAACTCCAGTCCACAGCAACACCATAAAAGACGGGAGACCGACGGGGCTAGCTGTCCCCGTGTCCCCGAGAAAAGAGACGCCTCCTCGAGAGCGCCGCGCATACCTCTAGGAAGAGGTGCCCAATAGAGACGGGCCGCACGACGCTGAAAGAGGGCCTAGGCGTTGGGGCCAGGAGCGACGCTACCTAGCCACAGCAAGCGCCAAATTCGAGCGACGGTCGGGATAGATCTATCCCCGTGCCCCGCTAGAAACGCACTCAGGATGTGCGCGCACCCCCCCCCTGAAAAGGGGTGCCTGACACACGTGCGAAAAGACGCGCACGCACACGAAGGTATAAGCCCACACAAGGACGACGAGGCTCTGTCCCAGGTGCTGGATGCGCCTGGACGACACTGCCTCGCCCCAGATGTAGAGCAAAGGCAAAAAAGAGAAACTCGGCGGCCCAAGGCCGATAAAAAACAAAATAAATAAAGCCGACCACCCACACAAGGACGACGAGGTCCTCAGCCCCTGGTGCAAATAGCGCCAGGACGGCCGCTGACCTCGCCCCAGATGTGGGGTAAAGCACGGACGCCTGCCGAAGGGACAGTCGCATCGGGCCGCGCTGGAAAGAATAAAACACTAAAGGCGAAAGCCTGAAGATAATTACTAATCAGAACTGTCAGACTGATCCTGGCGCCCCCTCGCCAAGAAAGTGGGATGGTCCCGTCGCAGCTCTTGATGGGCATCTCGCTTTTGCAATGCTAAAAGAAGCTCCGAGGCCAACTCCTGCAGATGGGCCTCCTCCTCAGAATCAGTGTCCTGTGGGGATCCCACGGGAGCAGGAAGGTGCCTGTGGGGGCCTCGAGGCAAGCGGGATACATCCGAGCTGGGGATCGGGCAGTCAACGTCTAAAGAGGGTCTTTGGGGGTGACGTCCCTTGGAGACTTCCGACCACACCCTTCTTCCAAAACGCGACGGGCGAGCCGGGCACTTAACCAGCAGGCCTCTAAATCTCCCGTGAGAAGAATAGGATTTACATGAAATACACAGAATTAAAGTGGCCCCGTCAGAACATTCCAGACCTATGCAGGAGTGCCCCAGACTGCTAATATGTTGAAGGGGCAGCTCCCTCGTGTCTGGGCAGTCCTCCAAAGAGGGCTTACGAGGCCAGGGGCAGCGACGCACTTTGAGGCAAGTCAAGCACTTCCAAAAAGTTCCAAAGTGTCGCCAGAAATGCAGCCCTTTGCCAGTTCTCACTGGCTTCGGCGGGCGGACGTACTCTACTTCTCCGTACTCCCGCAGGGGAGCGTAATGGGGAAGAATATGCATCGCCAGAGTACAATAAGCTCTAGCAAATTTGATGTCGGTGGTGAGCGATTCCTCTAGCTTCAAATATGATGGGTGTCTCGCGAGTGCGGCCTTGGCCACGGCATCCGCCTGGTCATTCCCTTCCCTCCAGAAACGAAGCTGTGGAGAGATCGAAACGTCGTCTACCGATTGGTGGGATTAAACATGCGAAACCAGCGGAACATGTTTAAATCCTGGCTCAGCTCTAGCCTGTAACAGGTGGCCTGAATAAACGCCTTTGTCACTGAGTTGCCTAGCACGGTCGGCTCCAAAAAGTTTGACAACGCTCTCGCAGTCGGAAACAATCGACGAGGGACCCGAAATCAATTGGACCCCCGCCAAAAAGGAACAAAACTCTCCTGCCTGGGGCGTCTGAGGGAGATGAGCCCAGACGGGCCCCGAGGCTGTGGCAAGCAGCTCCTGGTCGGGACTGCACAGGGCGACTCCCCAGGAGGCGCTGGACAGTTAATTTTATGACCCTTCTCGAAAAGGAGCCATCTACGAAAACCACACCTTCAAACGATTCTGGCTGGGGGGGTTCGAATGCCAGGTGATGTTAAGCGTATCGTCGTCCATGTGTCGAGGAGGAGGGTGCAGATCGCCAGGGTGAGGGAGGACTCCATGGGTAACATCAAACAACCTGTCCGAAGAGGTAACGTAATCGAATAGGGAATCTAGGAGTTCCTGACCAACCAACTCGGAACGAAGAGCTTGCAACTTCGGACACATCCAGAGGCGGTGGAAAATCGAGTCGGTGGGCGCGCCGCAGAGCTCGCACTCTGCAGGAAACTGGTAACCGCAGCCACGGGCCTTCATTCGAGTCCAAATGCCGTCGCACGTACAGCTCCTCAGAGTCCCTTTTTGAAGAGGAGTATACTTGGAGGAGGACAAGAAAGAGGAGACCACATCGTAGCAGAGGCGGCCGTGCCCGAAACAGTACTTGTGGGCCAGGTAGCGCTCGAGTCTCCTAAGGACCGCAGCTCGAAGGTGTTTCCTAAGGAGGGCGGGGGAAGTGAATGAAAGCTCGTGAGTGTTCCCGAGATCATCCACCAGCCTGTTAAACTCAGGCATCTCCCAACCGAGGCCCACAAGAGTCATGTGCATCCCCGACAGAGGGGGCCCTAACCCCTCTCCACGTGCGCGGGGGGGGGGCGAGCCCAGACGCTGCCCCACCACTCACGCAGCAAGGGGATCGGGGACGCGGCAGCGTGGAGACGACTAGAGGAGGCCCAGAACTCACGATGCCACCTGCTGATGACGGAGGCTTGCACTTGCCAGGTGGGGCCGCTTCCCAGGAGCATCAGAGCCGAAAGCGATCTACCACTACAGGAGGGCTTAATGAGGCGGGCCAGGCTGCGCCTGAGCTCCAGGACCTCCGAGGGGGAGAGCCCATAACACTCGGACCCGTACGTGGCAACATGCAGAGGCCCCGCGACCCAAAGACGACGGAGGCGCTGTCTGCTCAAAACACGACCGAACTTGCCAAGCCGTCGGCTTCTCGCTTTACCCTCGGCCAGTCTACGCTTAGTTCTGGCGTTTTTCCCCTGGAGGCGGATGGAGGTCCCCTGGGTATCGTCCACTCCTAAGTTCACTCCTGAATTAACCAAGGGTCCTGAAAGTTCAATCCCAAGAGAGTCCTGGATATCCAAGCCGACGGCCTTGGAGCTGCAGATAAGGGTGGCCTTGTCGGCCGAGAGAGTGGCCCCGATCTCAGCGGTGGCACTCCTAAGGGCTCGGGCTCCTTCAACAACTCCTGAAACAATTTCTTGGTGGGTGCCCACCGCATCAATACTACTATTGTCGATGCACAGCTTGACGTCCACATGCGGGCTCCAGGCGATCTTATCCAAAGGGCCCGAACTGTTAATACGTATCATAGTGGTTGCCAGACTGCAGCCTGCGACAACCCCAAACTGAACGAAAACGGCTTCGGAGATCATCGCCTGGAGACACACATGCCTGGCCGACGCGTAGGCCGCGATGGCAACTCTGCTGACCGCCAACGGGAATTCATGCTGGCGACACCTCTGCTGCAACTGACCGAGGGGAAAGGTTTCGTAATACTTGACAAAATCCCAAAGCATATTCGCAGAAGTATGGTCTCTGGCAACTTCGCCCTCGGCTCGAAGAAGCTGACGCCACACGGTACCCCCAGCACCCGTGAAACTACCCGCGGCAAAATAAGGGCGAGCGTTTCGCTTCTCCCAGTCGTTGGCAACGGGCCTTCTGGCCTTTGCCCAAACTCGATATGGGGCAGAAACCACGCCAATCGGACGGACCCCCACGGGGACCTTGGGGATGAGATGCATCAAAATGACCGCAATCTGGGCGGGAAGAAGCCCCGGGGTTTCCATAACCTGAAAAATGGACAGCAGGGCGCTCAAACCCTGATCAGACAACCACCCTATGTGTCTGATGTGGAAACCGTCCGAAGCCACCGCCGAGCGTTCTTTGCGCCGAAGACGCAGATTTCGAACCGCACCCAGCTCGAGCGGCGGCAAGGGAGGGGCGGGGGTGAAGACCTCAGGGGTAGGGGTGGAGGACGGAGTAGCTCTCCACAACCCTTTGTACCTGGAGGCTTCGAAATGCAAAATACTCAAGGGATCACTCGCCACCTTGCCGTCGCAAGAGAGCACGGTGGTGGGGTGCCGGGGGGGGGGGGGGGGGCCTTTTAAGCCAGGTGAGCATTCCGTCCTCCTTGGTCAATCCCTTTCAAAAGCCAAGCCCTCCATCCCTGCGAGGCTTCCAGCCGAGTCCTCTTTAGGACCGAATCCAAGGCCTCGCGGAACTAAAAATGCACGTTTTCCTTTAGAAAATCAATGATTTTGGCCTCGTGGGGCCCTCTTGGGACGCCTCGTGGGCGCCTCCTGGGGCGTCGTGGAGGCCTCTTGGGACGTCTTGGGGCCGCCTTGGGCGGTCTTGGGCTCTCTTGGAGCGCTCTTGGGCCGTCTTGGGCGCTTCTTGGGCCGTCTTGGGCCGTCTTGGGCGCCGTCTTGGCCGCTTCTTGGGCTGTCTTAGGCGCCTAAGACGGCCCAAGAAGCGCCCAAGAAGCGTGCTCCGATGATGCCTCGAGCGAAACGCTGTTTTTAAGCCCCGAAGGCCGTCCTACTCGAGAAAGAACGCGGCGGGAGGGTAATTGGATCTCGGGCCTGGTGATGCCAACCCCCTCGAACTCCCCCAAGTCCAATTTCTTCCGACTAACGGACCGCACGCTAACGCGCGCTTTCCGTCATCCCGTCGGCGCGTCCGGAGTGGTGCGGTCGAACACGGGCGCGGCTCCACGCGCGGACCCGGCGTCGCTCTCGCCATGACGGGCCCCGACCACCGCTCGAGCCCCGTCGGCGCCCACGGCCACGGACCACCCGAAGTGGTCGACGTCCGAGGCAGCCGCGGCCGCGAGCCTCGCCAACTGCGCGCCGCTGGCCCCGTCGAACACGTACGCGGACCCGGAGATCCCTCCTGCGTCGTCGACGCCATAAGCCACACCACCGCCCGGGCCCCGTCCGCGCTCACGGCCACTGAACGCCCGAAGTAGTCGCCGGCGGCCGCGTCCGCGGCCACGAGCTTCGCCAACTGCGCGCCGCTGGCCCCGTCGAACACGCACGCGGACCCGGAGATCTCTCCTGCGTCGTCGACGCCCTAAGCCCCCACCACCGCCGGGGCCCCGTCCGCGCTCACGGCCACTGAACGCCCGAAATAGTCGCCGGCGGCCGCGTCCGCGGCCACGAGCTTCGCCAACTGCGCGCCGCTGGCCCCGTCGAACACGTGCGCGGACCCGGCGTTCTCGTCCTTAAAAAAAAGGCCCCTACCACCACCCGGGCCCCGTCGGCACTGACGGCCACCGAGCACCCGAAGTTGTCGCAGCCGGCCGCGTCGGCGGCCTGGAGCTTCGCCAGCTGCGCGCCGCTGGTTCAGTCGAATACGTACGCGGACCCAGATAATGTCCTGGCGTCCTCGTCCTGTATGGTCCCTACCACAAAGCCGCATCCCCGACGAGCTTCGCCAACTGCGCGCCGCTGGCCCCGTCGAACACGTACGCAGACCCGGACAATGACCCGGCGTCGTCGTCGTCCGTGGCCCCCACCACCACCACCCGGGCCCCGTCGGCGCTGACGGCCACCGAGAACCCAAGGCGGTCGCTGCTGGCCACGTCCGCGGCCACGAGCTTCGCACCCAGCACAACGTCGAAAGTCCCATCAAGCGTCTGAACACGTCGTCGAAGGTACCCGTCGGAACTGGAGTCGGTGGTGCCGGTGTCTGTGGTAGAGCGGGCGTCGGCGGTGGTGCTGGTGCAGACTTTGGAGAAGGCGTCGGCTGGTTCTTGACGTAGGTGCAGGCCCTGCTGTTCTTGCCCTCCCAGTTCGCCACGATGTCACTGATCGCGCTGTAGCAATACCGCACGCCAGTGTCCGTACAATCATTGTCGCGCAGGACATAGCAATCAGGATCTGCGCTGCACGCCGCTTCAGCATTAACTCGCGAAGACGCTGTGCTGTAGCAGCACGGACCCGACCACGCAAAACTGGCCACTCGAGGGCCGTCAATGTACAATGCTTCGGCGGCTGCGGCTGTCTCTGTCGCGCTGCCGGTCGTGGCCTGGGCTGCAAACAACATCACCATGAGGGCGATCACCAACCGTGACCTGGACCAGCCCCCCGTGCTCTCACGATTGCCCTTCGTGCTGCCGACGCCCTGGACCTGGCCGGGTGGTTGAGCATCCGGGGAGCCCCCGGCGAGCGCGGGCCGCCGAAGCATCCCGCCCTCGGACGCCTCGCCCACCGCCTTCCGCGTGGCGAGCGCCCCGCTGCGCCGCGAGGCGGGCGGCCCCAGCCGACACGGGCGCCACGCTGGGGAAGGGCAGCACGGCGCTCCCCGGGCGGACGGCCCCGGCGGACCCGACATCGCTCTGCCACATGCCTCCGCGTCACCGCGCCCCGCGAAGCGCCCGCTGCCGCGAGCAGCCGGAAGCGGCGGTGCGGGCGTCAAGATCGGCGTCGGTGCTGGAAAAACAGGCACCCTGCCTGCACCAGGGCTTCGCTCGTGTCTGCGACACTCACCTTGGCATGGCTCGCGATGTCGATGCCGCAGACATGGGCACACAAGATAGCACTGGCGATTTCGAGTGCCCCTCCCGCTGCCAGTGTGGCCCATAACTCGCTCATCATATTGGCGTCAGGCTGGAAGTGCACGTGGACGCGGTCGGCAACCGTCAGATACGCAGAAGCGAACTTGTCGTACATAGAGACAGTCCCTCCGTCGTCGATGCCGCATAAGGCTGGAGTGCCCACCGTGCGGAAGGAGAGGTAGAGAGCGCCCGCACCTGTCACAGCCGCACTATTCCCTACACGATCATCGCACCGAATTTTCACCATCAAAGATGGTTCACCAATCGGCACCTCGTAGAGAGCAGAACGGTTGACCGTCAAGTTGCCAGATCCCCAAACGAACTCCTCTACCACGGCTTCTGTGAGCCAACCCATCCTGTTGCGCGCCACCACATGGGTGTCTGAGTGCCGCCACGAACGCTGATAGACCATCACCGCATCGTCCAAGTACGGCTCGGACGACCCGTCGGTCTGGTAGCCTCCTGCGTGGTGGAGTTGTTTTTTTCCCACCGCGCACACGCCAGACCCGCCAGCGCCACCAATTGTCACCTAGCTCGTGGAACACCTCAATCCCAAATAATGGCGTTGGCGTAGTACTGGGACCACCCGTTGGAAACACGAGTGTAAGTAAGTAAATGGTGGCAGCGAAAACGCGTCCGGGTGGAATTGCCATCGTATGAATGTAACTCCTGGTGCTGCCCTGTGCTTGACACAATCGTTGAGAAGACATACTGGTATAGAGTGATCCAAGACTTGTTCCCCAAATCGCTGGTTTCTCGGTCAACTCAATCGAGAAAACGACTTTGGAAGATGAGAACCAAACCGTTTGCCACGAATTTTGGTACAAAGAGTCGTTGCAGCCGGGCACATTCCAAACGAAGCCCTGACCTCCGCGAGAGTCTTGGCGGGATGTGCCCCCTGGTAAAGCAGGTGGACGACAAGGATCGGGCCGAAATCCCCGTGGACGGAGTCGACTATAATTTCGGCGCTGTCAGTCTGGTCAAAGTCATGAATGTCCCCGTGGGTTTACAGGAAGGTGTTGAACAGTTCCCACGGGCTCGGCGCACCATTCGTAAATACTGCACTGCTTCTGTCCATCGTTCAAGAGGCCGGACTTCAAGAAAACATCGGCCACTTGGACGAATCGACACGGAAACAAATATAAAAACTAAGTGTGGATGTCTATCCTCGGTTCGAGCCGTGCCGATAAGGCAGGCCAGAGCGACGTGTCTTGCGAAGCGGATCCATCGAACGCCGACATGGCTTCAGCAAATACACGGTGTTGAGCCAAAATGGTTATGGGGGACCTCTTCACACCTGTGGGGAGCAAGCTTTATCGTGGTGTCTAGGCGCCGTCCTAGGCCGTCTTGAAAGGCCCTCTGGAGCCATCTTAGGGGCTCGCATGGATTATTGTGGGTGGTTCATGACGCCTTGCTGGGATGTCTTGGAGCCTTCTGAGGCCCTCGCCAGGCCTTGCTCAGTTGAGGATTCGAACAAGCAAACATACTATTGAAGCACCTTTGAGTTCTTCGAAGATTCTGGCTGCTGGGGGGCATCTCTTGTCTTGGCGCATCTGGTGACTGGTAGGCCTCTTGGGCGCTCTTGGGAACTCTTCGAATCTTTTCGAAACCTCTCAGGAGGTCCTGAGAGCCTCCTCGGGCAAGCTTGAGCCCTCTTGCCCCCTTGGCGCCCTCTTAGGCCATCGTGGGCGCTTCTGGAGGCCCCAAGGATCGAAACGTTCGTTGGTTCGGCGAACAGACGCACCCACCCCCACCACCCCCTCCCCCCAAATCCAAACGTGAGTCGCTTCGCGCTTGCAGTCATACGACAACTGAGTATGTATTACGTGCAAGGCATCAACAAATACAACACGAACTGTCGGAGACAACTCGGAAATGTGCCTCAGCCTGACGCTAGAAGGATTACCCATCTGGACTAACATTCAACGTAATTATCAGACCCCTTCCCACAATGGATCAACGAACGCAACTGTCACAAAAAATGTTAAACCGTAACAGCAGTGATGACACGCTAATGTACAACAACACCATGCTTCTAGGTATGTGCAGTAAACCGGCAGCGGCCCGAATTGCTTTAGAACTGGCGTCAACATGATCGACCCACGAACCTGGAACATAATATAGAAATGTGAGGCATGACAACGATGTCAAGACACCTGATTGGACGACGGGCAATTGCAATGCTCAATGTATCGATCTTGATGTACCGTGCCGAGGGCTGTGCTGTGCTGCGCCGTGCCGAATTGCGATGTGCCATGCCGCGACTGTGCTCTATAGCGTTGTGGATCGAGTCCTCCTTTGCATCCGAGTCCTGACCGAACTGATCTGAATCTTAAGCTTGAGCTGCCTGAGCACATCGTAGCTGCCCCACAGCTAGTTGAAGTGGAAACGTGTGGGACGTTCAATCAACTCGATTCCAAAATCGACTCAGCTCCGAAAAGGAACGACACGACACAGGGCACAAGCTCACGGACGCGCCCCAGGATGTGCCATGGGCGCAATAGGGGATGCGCCAGGGGGCGTGTCAGGGGACGACGTGTCAGGAACCTGCCACGGGACGTACCAAGGCACGTGCCATGGGGCGGCCAGAGGACGTCATGCCAAACGACGTTGAAAGGGGCGCGCCACAGAACGGGCAGAGGAAACGCCTGGGGACGAGCCAGGAAACGCGCGCCAGGGGACTCGCCAGCGCGCCAGGGGACGCCCCACGGACAGGCGAGGTTGGACTGCGATGCACTCTACTGCGACAAGCGTTTCGCTCGAGACATAAACAACAGGTCCTCCTGTTAGACATTCGCCTGGGCGACCCGGACGCGTGAAAACAAGCGTTTCGCTCGAGCCATCCTGCCCAAATCATCATGTTAGACATCCGCCTGGGCGATCTGGACACGTGAAAGCAGGCGTTTCGCTCGACATGTTCTCAACACCTCCTCATGCTAGACATCTACGTGGGAACCTCGGACACGTGAAATCAAGCGTTTCGCTCAACATATCCTCAACACGTCCTATGCTAGACATCCGCCTGGGCGACCAGGACACGTGAAAACAAGCGGCTCGCTCGAAACATCCAGCCCAACTCCTCATGATAGACAGCCGCCTGGCCG